TCACCCTACCTTCATGTCATGCATCTCTAGTAGTAGGGTCACCCTACCTTCATGTCATGCATCTCTAGTAGTAGGGTCACCCCACCTTCATGTAATCCAAGTTAGCAGTAGGGTCACCCTACCATCATGTCATGCATCTATAGTAGTAGGGTCACCCTACTTTCATGTCACCCATATCTAGCATCTCGCGTACCCTAATAAAATTACTCTTTAATGTGTTACGAAGAATGCTTTTGAAAAAGTAAATGTCATGGCCCTAATGCTACGAATTGACATTTTTGGGTTTGTGATGTACACAACACATGGCGGGCTCACGGCTGTAATGCTCGCATGCTTTTCCAAATTGCGCTCCTGTTGAATTCTCCCCCTATTTTTTCAACATGGCCGACGGGAAAGACTCACAAGTCACTAGTTTTCGTGATAGTTTAGCATCATTTGTGTGGCGTAAAAAATTACGTTCGCATACATTGGGAGTTTCATAACAAAAATTTTAAGAGATTTTCTTACTTTAATCTGAATTAAATTCAAACAACACATCTGCGACAAACCAAATATATTATTATTCGTTGCTTTATTAATGAATTGTTTGTTCCTATTTCATACTGATAATTGTGTTTGAAACCAAACAAGCCAACCGCGAATCCTTTGTTTTCTCAATACGCGAGATTTTGTTGTCAAATTAATTTCCTGACATCTTTTTGGGGCTATCTTTAATGATTTTGTTTTATGAATCAATTAAGGGAAATTTAAATCTAAGATTTTAAAAAAAACATACAAAACAAGTCTCGTTGAATCTTATACAATTGTGCATGTGTTGATGTAGAATCTAAATGTAGCAGTCAAAAGAGAGTCAAAAGAGTTTGGTTACGATACCTAAGTAGTTACATCTGTTATATAACGTACTATAACCGATAGAACTATAGCTACACCAACTCAACAAAAAAATATGGTAAGGAATAGAGATAGATCTAAAGCTTGAATCTCGGAATGAAAAAAAAACCACAATAAATGCTTGAGCACTCTAATATCGTGACATCCCCAAAGCTGGAAAATATTTGCATTGATTTATTTAGATACAAAGTGACAAACATCGGATAGTACTAAGAAAAAACCCTTTGTTGAGGGAGAAGACAAGTAATGTCAACTTTGGTGCCTGAGATGAGGTGATACCTCTCATAGGGGTACCTTCATACATGACAAATATATATATATTACCATAACGTGATATGTTCACACGTCGTTGTACGTACGGCGCTACCATAATGTTTCACATTCTTTTTTTTTATTTTATATATTTTAGTTTGTGTCATTCGCATTGTTTTCAAAGAACTTGAAAAAATAAAGAGAAACACTTGTGTTTGACATGTACAAGTATTCTTTTCTAATCCTACTTTATGGGATTAGAGGGGGATTTCCGGATGATAAAATGTATCAGCAAGTAGTGGGAAAGAGCAGGGAGAAATTTTGATTGCTTATATATATTGAGCAGTTTGAAGAAATATTTCAAAGCCACGAATATCGGACTGGACGGGATTTCAAGTCCGCGCAATTAGTTCTGGAACTAATTGCTCAGACTTGAAATCCCGTCCAGTCCGATATTATATTGGAGGCTTTGAAATGACTTCTCATACTCATTAATTATTCGACTTGGAGTAACTGGAACAAAATTAATTCAGTCCTAGGACTGAATTAATTTTGTTCCAGTTACTCCAGACTGAATGCATTCCTTTCACAGGACTTTACCAGGTTTCAAGTAACATCATGTGACCCAAAAATAGGGTGGGTGGATGGGTGGATGGGGGGATCGGGGGATGGGTGGATGGGTGGATACTAGCCTTGTTTATGGAAATAATGACTTTGTTTTCCAAACCATATCAGGCATCTGATATATCAGTACACTATATCAACGTATAGGTTGTAGTTTAAAAACGTTCAATCTCTGGCAAGTGATCATCTTTAATGCATCGATGTTTTCATGCTTGATACACTACTCCATTATCAGTCGGAAGTAGCCTCGAAGAAAACATGCTTTTGAATCTTGATATGCCACTATTTGGCAGGCTAAAATAGAGCTTTTTACTTGATGACATAAGTTTACATTTGTGAACACAAGACGTTTAGTTTTTCTTGGATATAGGAAGTTTCATATTGGGTGGGATGTTAATTTTCTTCGCAATAGTTTTTACAAATTAAGATAAAGGAAGATTTACATTGAGATGATGTCATGGAGTCTTCTTCACTCCAGTCAAAGTATGATCACTAGGTGTTCCAAAAGCTACTTGAATCATTTAGTGTCTTTAGCGCTCTTTGCTCATTTCTATTCACATTCTCTCCTTATCTTCTTTTATTATGTACCACCTTACTACACCGCCTTACTACAATTCTTCCTTCCTTTTCTTTTCTTTTCTTTTTATAATTTCAGTATTTATTCCTTTCATCAATCCATTTTTTCCCCAATGATTTTTATGTACAGACTAAGAAAATCAAATAATCAATTCACAATCAATTCAATGCTATTTTCATATCATTATTATTATTACTAGTAAAAACAAAATAGTGAATTAGTGAAAGTAAACTTGAAAGTTAAAATCGAATCTTAACCAAGGAACTATAAATAAAACACTGAAATATATATAGAACATCCTGCTGCAGATTTCCAAGACCAAGTAAAAACGAAACCTTGACAGTCTGAATTATGCAGATAGATTTTCGAATCAAAAACGTATATTTAGACCAAACGAAGGAGGGAAGGAAACTGATATCACGACATCCTTCTAAGTTACTAAAAAAATCACGATGACATCGTCTTAAAATCGCGTCTAATTTAGACTTCAGGGCGAAGCCTTGACATGACAGCCTGAAATAAAGTGTGGTGATTCATTTAGGGACTTGTTGGCCAAAACAATGCCAATGTGAAGTTAAAAAAACGTCGATAAGTCGTTATGGATGTGGGGTTTTAGTAATTTATTCGATTAAGAAGTAGTGAAGAGTGTAAGGCTGAATGAACTAACACCATATGAAAAAATGATCTGGCTGCCATTCATGACTGTCGTGTATTTATTAAGGTGTATTTGTTGAACTGAGAAAATGTTAATTTTCGAAATCAAATCAAATAAGCGTACGAAAATAATGAAATAAAAAAGGGCTCACTTCCACAGACTAAAATCAAAATGAGAGACGTTGTAACTGATTTTTATTTTATTTTATTTTATTTTATTTTATTTTATTTTATTTTATTTTATTTTATTTTATTTTATTTTATTTTATTTTATTTTATT